CTACCTATCACAACGTTCTTTCATCGTTCCCTATAATGCCACCACCTCCCTCTCACTCCCCCTCTCTGTTGGGGTCCCTCAAGGCTCAATCCTCGGGCCCCTTCTCTTCTCCATCTACACCTCCTCCCTTGGCCAACTCATACACTCTCACGGCTTCAACTACCACCTCTATATGCCAACGACACACAAATCTATCTCTCAACCCCCCACCTCACCCCCTCGGTCTCAGCCCGAATCACACACCTACTCAGCGACATATCAGACTGGATGTCACTCCACTTCCTTAAACTGAACCTCTCCAAAACAGAGTTTCTTGTCTTCCCCCCAGCCCGGACACCACCCCCCATTGACTTCTCCATCACATCCAACAATGCCACTATCAAACTCCACCTCCGCAACATCGCCAAAATCCGCACATTCCTAACCCCAGAAACCACTAAACAGCTCATCCACTCCCTCATCATATCACGACTCGACTACTGCAACTCCCTCCTCACTGGCCTGCCTCGCCGCTGGATATCCCCGCTTCAGTCCATCCTGAATACGGCTGCCAGACTCATTCACCTTTCCAACCACTCCATCTCCGCCACCCCCCTCTGCCAATCCCTCCACTGGCCTCCATTCAGTGTCCTCCACCCCCCTCTGCCAATCCCTCCACTGGCTTCCGATTGCCCAACGGATCAAATTCAAAATCCTAACACTGACGTACAAAGCCGTCCACCACACTGCCCCGAACTACATCACTGACCTAATATCCAAGTACCACACAACACGCACATTCCGCTCCTCACAAGACCTCCTTCTCTCTAGTTCCCTGGTCTCCTCCTCCCATGCCCGCCTCCAGGACTTCTCCAGGGTGTCACCCATCCTCTGGAACTCCCTGCCCCAACCCATCAGATTATCACCTACTCTCCTCTCCTTTAGGCGCACCCTGAAAACCCATCTCTTCAGGGAAGCCTACCTCACCCCCTGCTAACTTGCTAACCTCCTCCACTCTTCCTATCACTCCATCCCCCACAGCTATCTCCTCCTGTGCCACCACCCCCTCCCTCCTAGAATGTAAGCTCCAAAGAGCAGGGCCCTCGATCCCCTCATGTTTTGCATTGTATTGGTATTGTTTCTGTCACATGTTCTGTCCCCCTTTGTAATGTACAGCGCTGAGCGAACCATTGGCGCTTTATAAATACTGTATAATAATAATAATCAACTCATCCCCCTGAAGGGGTGAATCTACATATTACCTCCTCTGCAGCCAGATGCAGTAAGGTCACCTTGTACCACATGGAATGTCCTGTCTGTACCTGACATCACTTCCTGTCTGTACCTGACATCACTTCCTGTCTGTCTTCCATAGAGACTTCCTGTCTGGGTAGAAGTGAGATCCCCACCTTGTGGAGCTCAGAGGAACTGCAGCCCCGAGAAGCGTCTGGTAGTGTGACCCCGGCCTTGTGCTGGGTGTGTATGGACTGTAGATCCTTATAGAGGGGTCACCTCCACTCCCACCAAGGGGGACAGAAATATATGACTGCTCGGGGGAGGGATTTTGGCCCCTTTGATTTTGCAGTAACATTGATGGCAGATTTAGTCCTGTAGAACATCTGGTATATGGATACAAAGCCCCCCAGCTGGGAGTAAAGGGTGGAAATGGCTGGTGACCCCCAGATTTGGGCAATGATGTCATCACTATAAATGGATAAAACCCGCGCTATGTGTAACAACTCCAAACCTACAAAAACCTTCTAGCGGACTGCTGCTGTAACAAAGGGAAGGATTCCCTGTCATCTAGAAGAGCATTATGTGTCACAGCGCTGTCCTATTGTGTGTGCACAGAAATCATCACAAATACACTACAAATATGTGGAGACATTCAGAGATAAAGAGCTCGGGGCTCCAAATCCTATTCTCTGCACATCCACTGCTTCCACTTTACACCCACTTCATTGGTCTTATGGGGTTTATCAATAAATGAAGGAAACTGAACCGTGTGCAAATCCATCCACAACATAAAGTGCTTTGTGCTCAAGATGCTGCTCCCTGCACATCCACTGCTTCCACTTTACACCCACTTCATTCATCTCATCAGATTTGCTGCTATAGGAAATCATCTCAAATCCTGTGCAAATCCATGGAGACGGACAATATTGTGTGCTCAGTATAGTGTTCTCTCTGCAAGTCCACCGCTTCCACTTTGCATCTACTTCAATCCACTTATTTTACTCCAAAAATCCACCAATCAGTGAAAAGTTTATAAGGTGTGAAAGTGCTCCGCCCTCCAAACTGTGTCAGCTGTAGTGTAGCCCCGCCTTCTTCCACCTCTTGTACACGGGATGGTAAGGGCGCCCCCTAGTAGTGCTTCCCCCTCACCACACCAATAGGACTCCCAGCTTTTCAGCTCCCAGAGTCACAAACATCCTTCACACTCTCCTCATCTCCGATGGTAAAGGAACCGGATCCTCCTCGCTCACTCCTGCAAGCCTGCTGCGGGTTCTGTCAGTCTCCCTCCTAGACTCCGCCTCCGACCGCCATTCCAGAAGGAGCTCCGCCTCTAAATACACACTCAGGGAGGAGAGAAAGGGGAACCCGACATCATGTGACACCTTTTTATTACATGGAAATACGAAAATCAACGGGACTAATGCAATCACATTTACTGCAAAATCAGAGGAGCCAAAATCCCTCCCCCCAGAAGTCAGGCTGCAGGAGATCTGCTGAGACATAGAGAGGGAAATGGGTGCTAATAGGCTGCAGGAGATCTGCTGAGACATAGAGAGGGAAATGGGTGCTAATAGGCTGCAGGAGATCTGCTGAGACATAGAGAGGGAAATGGGAGCTAATAGGCTGCAGGAGATCCGCTGAGACATAGAGAGGGAAATGGGTGCTAATAGGCTGCAGGAGATCTGCTGAGACATAGAGAGGGAAATGGGTGCTAATAGGCTGCAGGAGATCTGCTGAGACATAGAGAGGGAAATGGGAGCTAATAGGCTGCAGGAGATCCACTGAGACATAGAGAGGGAAATGGGTGCTAATAGGCTGCAGGAGATCCGCTGAGACATAGAGAAGGAAATGGGTGCTAATAGGCTGCAGGAGATCTGCTGAGATATAGAGAGGAAATGGGTGCTAATAGGCTGCAGGAGATCTGCTGAGACAATGAAATGTGTATGAAATGGATGGATGTGCAGACACTCCCAGGAGATGATGTCATTATGAGTGGATTGATATATATTTTGCATTGTCTCCCCCAGAAGGATCAGGTTTGGCGGGATCGCTCTCATTAGCTATACATTTGTATTTTGTGTTCTGTGTTTGTAAGACTTTTCTATATGTAATAAGAGATGTTTGTTGAACAGTTGGTTACATAAGAGTTACATTTATTTCTTCTTCCTTTATTCAGTAATGTTTCATCTCCCGTAGTATCCCTGTAAGGTACATATTATACAGGAAGGGGGATTATGGGATGGATCTCGGGGCTGCAGTTCCTCTGAACTCCACAAGGTGCTGATCTCACCTATACTCACACAGGAAGTCTCTATGGAATGCAGATAGGAAGTGATGTCAGGTACAGACAGGAAGTGATGTCAGGGACAGACAGGAAGTGATGTCATGTACCTTATCCTTTCTACCTTTCACTCCCAGAGCCGTTTTTGCATTTTTTGCACATTTAAAAAATAATTTTAGCCCTAAAGATGACACAAAACCCCCAAAATATCGATTTTCTGAAAGTAGAGACTTTAGAGAATAAAATAGCGGTAGTTCTAATTTTTTATGTCACAAAATATTATCACAAAGTCTAGGAAATGCCAAATTTCTGTAAAAAATATACTTAAGTTAATTTCAGGGCACAAAAAGCAATAAATGACCCATTTATGTGTAAAAATATAAAAGCCGAGGTTGCAGCGAGTAAATAGATATCCAACATGTCAAACCTTAAGTTGTGCGTGCTGAAATGGTGACAACCTTTAGTCCCGGTATTATCTATAGGGGACACATTTATAGCCCCTTCTAGGTCATCAGTATAGAGTACGGAGGAGGTCTGCTCCTAGAATTATCCTCTCATTCTGGTGTGACCGGCGATATGTAACGTGTATCACAATCAATGTTATCACGTGTAGGCGCTCCAGCGTGTGCTCTTACGTTTGGGTTTGCATATATGTGGGGGTGGGGGGGTTAACATTTTTTAAAGGGAGGAGTTATGTACTTAGTTATAACTTTAATTGTTTACAATTAAAAAAAAACATTTTTACTTAAGGGGACAAAGTCCTCTATGAGATGACTTTTGATGACAGGTTCTCTTTATTGAGACATCCAGGGTCTAAAAGACCCCCAATGTCTCCCCTGTACTCCATTGGATGTAATGTAGTGCACATCGCACCGCATTACATTCTTTGCCGGCCTCGATGGTCGGGAAATCTGTCATAATGTCACTTCTGGGTCAGGACAAGAAGGGAGTGAACATGTCCGCTGTCCTCCGTCCCCTCTACCCTCCGACACCCGCTGACCCGGGCCCACAGATGGGCAAGCAGAGCCGGGGAAGCATAGTAGGTACAGAGGAGGTTCACACACACGGGGTGGCAGAGGCTGGCACCTGAAAGGAGAGCCCTGCGGCTTGCCCTCAGCAGGGATAAAGATTAAACACAATACTTGCCCGGCCCCCAGAACTACATGTCCCGGGCGTCGGGTGATGTAAAGTGACCATCCCTGCATGATGAGCCGACATTGACCTCACAGCACTGCCTCAGAGCAAACTAGTCATAGGAAGGATCAGATTTATCATTCCTTGTCTGCAGATCTAATACTCATCAAAACCAGTTCAGAGACCAAAACAAACCCAACAGAGAAAAGGGGCCCCGGACCTCAAAATTGTAGTAAACACTAAACAGTCCAAACAAAATGTCTTCCCATGGGGGGAGTAGTTCTTCAATGTCCAGCAACCCTCCTATTCCCCCCTCACATCCACATCCTATTATTGTGTGACCAATACCATCCAAATCATTCTTACTTTCATTTCCCAAAGTTATCCGTCTACAAGGAGACCTGTATAGATCACATGATGGCACCAATGAGGATGGAGGAGGACCGGAGTCACATGACTGAGAAGATACTAAACCTCACCCTGGAGATCATCTACCTGCTGACTGGAGAGGTGAGGAGGATTCTGGGAGGTCACATGACATCACTCTTATCTCTATTAATAAAACACAGACCTGACCGGAGAGGTGAGGAGGATTCTGGGAGGTCACATGACATCACACTCATCTCTATTAATAAAACACAGACCTGACCGGAGAGGTGAGAAGGATTCTGGGAGGTCACATGACATCACTTTCATCTCTATTAATAAACACAGACCTGACCGGAGAGGTGAGGAGGATTCTGGGAGGTCACATGACATCACTCTTATCTCTATTAATAAACACAGACCTGACCGGAGAGGTGAGGAGGATTCTGGGAGTCTAACATGATATTCCTATTGGTTCCTCAATACAGAGATTTCCTCCTCTGAAGTCAGGTGATCATATGACCATCACAGTGCCTCCATGTGACTCCCTAAACCCTGAGAGACACAACATGCAGAAGATTCTAGAAGTCACCAAGAAGATGATGGAGCTGCTGCTGACAGGAGAGGTGAGCGGTGCCGGGAATTCTGGGATATTATTATCCAATCACTGATAGTATCATTAGGATCTGTACATTATCTGCATTGTTACCATTGATGTCATTTTATTATATATTCAGAGTGGAAACCTGAGAGATCCTAAAGTTGAGGTTAAAGAAGAAATAAAAGAGGAGGAGGATGAGGATGGGGGGATGGAGGAGTCAGAGCTTCTAAAAGAACACAAAGATCTGTACCAGGACACCATGGTGGAGTCATCCAGCTACAGGAACCCCACCAGAGAGATGTCCCCGTCCTCTGTATTCCGGGATTCCACACAGGAAGGTCACACCATCCCTCACCATCATCAGGTAGATGAGGAACAATCACTGATAGTATCATTAGGATCTGTACATTTTCTGCATTGTTACCATTGATGGCATTTTTATTATATATTCAGAGTGGAAACCTGAGAGAGACCTAAAGTTGATGTTAAAGAAGAGATAAAAGAGGAGGAGGATGAGGATGGGGGGATGGAGGAGTCAGAGCTTCTAAAAGAACACAAAGATCTGTACCAGGACACCATGGTGGAGTCATCCAGCTACAGGAACCCACCAGAGAGATGTCCCCGTCCTCTGTATTCCCAGGATTCCACACAGGAAGGTCACACCATCCCTCACTATTACAAGGTGGGATGGAGCATCTAGAACATGGACATGAGACAATGTGTGGATTGTTTATGTGACCTTACATTTTACAGACGATATTCTCTTTCATTTCCTTGATTTAGAGTGGAGATCCAATCGATATAGAATTTGAGGTGAAAGCAGAAGAAGAAGAGGCGTATGTGAGGATGATCAGCAGTCTATGGAGGAGGATGGAATAACGGGGACATTTATAGAGGAGGACACTCCTACAGAGATCAGCACAGGTGGGTCATGAACACTAAATCCATTCCTCCACCCATACTGCTCACTGATTGGTCCAGAGTAGGGCGGGGACTGGGTGATATCAGCCTGTAATCCCCTGGTCACTTTCCTGAGCTGTGTTCCCCATCCTGTATTCCTGGATTTCTCTCGGATAATCTTCCTTCTCTGTGCTGCAGACACAATTTATGTCTCTAGACTGGATTTATGGAGGTTCTGGGGTTCAGCTGTCAGTGTCATGTGACCTAGGCTCCTGGGACATGTGATTTGGGTCTCCTTCACCATGCCCGAGGGAGTCACAAAGTGAGAACAATAAGTCAGGCGGAGTCCAAATGGATTTTTCTTATGCAAACGCTGACACCTAGAGGCTTAAATATTGAATTTGACCTCAATTGTTTCATTAATGATTTTTAACATTGCTTTATTTTTAATATTGCTTGGTTTAAAGTTTAAAATGTTTAAATACATAAAATTGGTGGTTTTAAGAATATATGATTCCATTTATGTTAACATGTGGTATGGGTATTATACAGGAGTCCTTATTAGATTATGTTTTTATTGAATTTTATTAAATTTTATTAAATTATGTAGAATTAGGTGATAATTAATTTAATTAATATTTCTTTAAATTAGAAATTAATATGTTTAAAATAATCATAATATATTAAATTAATTTTATGAAATGGGGTAGTTTTTAAAATATGTTTATGTGGGAGGGGAATCATTGGTAGTGGATATGTGCGATTTTACACATATATTGATTAATCCCCCTATCATGTGTGTGTATATATATTTCTATTTATCCTTTGTCATATATCTATATATATAGATATAGAGTATTTACTAATTTTAATAATATGGATTATGGGGTTTAATAAAGGTTTATGTTATTGGGGGGTTATTTGTATTATTTTAGGAACAGCAGAGAAGGCATAATGGGAAACCAGGGGAAATAGCGGCGGATCGCGGCCGTCCTATGCATAGTGGGCTCCATGAAAATGGAGGTAATATACACGCCCCTTGTAGATTATCCTGAGCAGTTAAAAGGAAGTAAGGCCATCCAATACGGCATCCTGAAGAAGCCACGTGATCGTGGCGCAACGCATCGACGTATTTCCGGTCATAGGGGTGACGTACTTCCGGTTCCGGGTTCGGACGCCATCTTTGTACACCTGAATATACCCATAGCACATGGGGAACTGCTTCTCTCTGTTGGAGGATATGTGAGTGCATTTTTATATATCTCTGAGTGCATTAAAACAGTGTTGCACTATGGAGGTCTGCTTTTTCTTGCATATGCGCCCTGTGTCTGAGTCCGTATTGTGAGGGGAGTTATTTGAGTGGAACTCATTGCCTGGAGGAGGATCTTGATTGGGTCGGTGGAGGCAGTGGAGGAGAAAAACACCTGGCAGAGATATATTATATATATATAAAGCTTTGTGACCCGCAAGGGTCGAATGTGGAAGGTGAGGGGGCACTTTGGCTATTATTGAGGGGAGTCACAAGCACAATTGCAGCATGGAGTGAGTGACGTCATTTGAACACTTTTTATGATTTTGCACAGTGTGGCATCATTTATTTAATTGTTTTAATTAATTGGATATAAGTATCACTTTACACAGTTCAAGAGGTATTAGTTATTCATCACTATCCCACAGGGACGTATTAATTCATATATGGGGATATTGCACTAGTTTTTTCATTTATATTGATTATTGAGTTTGCATATTTGGAATTTATTTAGGTATGAGATAATTTTTTCACTTCTATTTAAGTTGAGCGCTTCACCATTTATTTTATATAATTTTGTGTGTGCACATATCTTGCGGTATAGAGAATAGTTGATAGCAGCTAACTCACTAGGTTCTGTGGAGCGCAGGGGGATTTTTGTAATTTTGTATGAACACTAAATCCATTCCTCCACCCATACTGCTCACTGATTGGTCCATATGAGATTGGTAGGGCGGGGGGACTGGGTGATATCAGCCTGTAAGACACAATTTATGTAACTAGACTGGATTTTTGGAGATTCTGGGGTTCAGCTGGCTGCAAAATGTTAACTTTTCACCATTAGCATTAACCTAGGCACCTGGGACATGTACTTTGGGTCTCCGGCCCCATATCTGGTTCTAGTAAGATCTCTGACAGAACAATTCTCCCAGGGTTCCTTGCTCTGCTGGCTGTGCCGGGTGGAGGGATATGTCTGTAGTGTCTCAGACCCAAGTCACTGAGTGCAGTCTCAGGAGATGGGAGGCAGCGGTGTGGGATCTCTGCAATTGTCTACAGTAAACATTTAATCTTCCAATGATTACTGAATACCAATATTATGAGTCCTGACCCTTACACTGTTAAATTTATGTTGTACATTACATACTCCTGACCCCTGCACTATATATATACTCTATGTTGTACATTACATCCTCCTGACCCCTGCACTATGTACTCTATGTTGTACATTACATACTCCTGACCCCTGCACTATATACTCTATGTTGTACATTACATACTCCTGACCCCTGCACTATGTACTCCATGTTGTACATTACATACTCCTGACCCCTGCACTATTACTTCCATGTTGTACATTACATACTCCTGACCCCTGCACTATATACTCTATGTTGTACATTACATACTCCTGACCCCTGCACTATATACTCTGTTGTACATTACATACTCCTGACCCCTGCACTATATACTCTGTTGTACATTACAATACTCCTGACACCCTGCACTTTATACTCTATGTTGTACATGACACACTCTTACATACTCTGACCCTGCACTATGTACTCTATGTTGTACATTACATACTCCTGACCCCTGCACTATATACTCTGTTGTACATTACATACTCTGACCCCTGCACTATACTATATGTACTCTATGTTGTACATTACATACTCTGACCCCTGCACTATATACTATATGTTGTACATTACATACTCCTGACCCCTGCACTATATACTCTATGTTTGTACATTACATACTCCTGACCCCTGCACTATGTACTCTATGTTGTACATTACATACTCCTGACCCTGCACTATGTACTCTATGTTGTACATTACATACTCACTGACCCCTGCACTATATATTACTCTATGTTGTACATTACATACACCTGACCCCTGCACTATTTACTCTATGTTGTACATTACATACCCTGACACCCCTGCAGATATATACTCTATGTTGTACATTTCCATACTCCTGACCCCTGCACTATATACTCTATGTTGTACATTCCATACTCCTGACCCCTGCTCACTCAATTATACTATATGTTGTACATTACATACTCTGACCCCTGCACTATATATACTCTACTGTTGTACATTACATACTCCTGACCCTGCACTATGTTATTATGTTGTACATTTACATACTCTGACCCCTGCACTTATAACTCTATGTTGTACATTACATACTCCTGACCCCTTGCACTATATACTCTATTGTTGTACATTACATACACCTGACCCCTGCAACTATATACTCTATGTTGTACATTACATACACCTGACCCCTGCACTATATACTCTATGTTGTACCATTCCATACTCCTGACCACTGCACTATATACTCTATGTTGTACATTACATACTCCTGACCCCTGCACTATATTTACTTGTTGTACATTACATCCTCCTGACCCCTGCATAACTATATACTCTGTTGTACATTACATACTCCTGACCTCTGCAACTATATACTCTGTTGTACATTACATTTAATCCTGACCCATGCACTATATACTCTATGTTGTACATTACATCCTCCTGACCCCTGCACTGTATACTCTATGTTGTACATTCCATACTCCTGACCCCTGCACTATATACTCTATAGTTGTACATTACATACTCCTGACCCCCCTGCACTATATACTCTGTTGTACATTACATAATCCTGAACCCCATGCACTATATACTCTATGTTGTTACATTACATCCTCCTGACCCCTTGCACTGTATACTCTATGTTGTACATTCCATACTCCTGACATAATCCCTGCACTATATTACTCTAATTCATGTTGTACATTACATACTCCTGGGAACCCCTGCAACTATATACTCTATGTTGTACATTCCATTAGTCCTGACTTCTGCTCCCCCCCTCCCCCCACTGCTATATATACACATAATTATGGATTCTCTTTTGTTACACCCATTTCCTCCCAGCTGGACATTTTATATCGTATGATGTGATTGCGGAGCACAGACTTTTACATCGGTGATAATAATGTGATAACATCCTCCAACTTTGGGCCCTTAAAACAGAAAGTGATAATGAGGGAGGAGTCAATACAACCCAATGATGGTGGTCTTCAGGATCAGTCCAGTCTTCATCTTGGTTGTTCTCCCTCCCATCCTCACTCCATCCTCTGACCTCTCTCTGGTGGGGCTCAGCCCGCTTGTTCTTCATGGGACTAATCATGGAGTAGAATAAATAAAGGAAGTGCAGTACTTCTTGTGTTGGGAAGATGACGATGAGTGATAGAGGGGGGTGGGGGACCCTCGTCCTATAATCCCTCATCCACTGTCCTCCTAAAAAGATCAGTTCTGGTTGTTTCCTCACTCTCTGACTTACAGGTCCATGAAATAAAGAAATGACTGGTAGGGAGATCAGAGGAGCCATTTCCTAGTTCCCTTGAGGGTGGAATTGTAAGTCCTCAGAGACCAAGCTGCCTGATGTGGGCGGAGTCCTGGTTTGAGGGAAAACCAATTTACAGCTCCTGTCTGGTAATCCTCTTTGTCTTTGTATTTTAGTCCAATGGCCGGGAGATGAGGAAAACCTCCGAGGATTGTCTCACTTGTCTCCAGACTGGAAAGTAGAAGATGAGGACACATCACACACAGTATAGTCCAGGAGAAAAACCCGGCTCCTCCAATGTCCATCCGGGCACCACCCAGTGTAGATGGACCATTGGGATTCCTCGTATCTTAGGAACCTCAGACTGTGCGGGGACCCGCGGACCTTCTAACAGGGAGAATATGCTTCTCCTGCATTGAGTGTGGGAAGAGAATTGCAATCTAAATCTGGTCTTAATGTGCTATGAAGATCTCACACGGGGAGAAGCCAGTATTCCTGTCCTGAGTGCGCGGGAATGTGTTTTTCAGAGACAAGTCCAATCTTTACAAACTATCAGACTGGAGATCTCATCACGGGGGAAAAAGCCATATTCCTGTTCTGAGTGTGTGGGAAATGTTATTTTCAATGAAGTCCAGTCTTTTGCACACATCAGGAGATCCTCACACGGGGGGACAAGCCGTATTCCTGTTACTAAGTGTGATGGAAACTTGTTTTCAGTGAAGTCCAGTTCTTTTCACACATCCACAGATCTCACACAGGGACAAAGCCGTATTCCTGTCTTGAGTGTGGGAAATGTTTTTCCCAGACGTCCCATCTTTACAGACATCAGAGATCTCAACACGGGGTGAGAAGCTGTATTCCTGTTCCTGAGTGCGGGAAATGTTTTTTCAGAGATAAGTATCATCTTTCCAGACATCAGAGGTCTGCACACGGGAAGAATATTCCATATCCCTGTCCTGGGTGCGGGAGGAAAATGTGTTTTTCACAGTAAGTCTGAACTGTTACATACATCAGAGATCTCACACGGGGGAGAAGTTGTATTCCTGTTCTGAGTGTGGGGAAATTTTTTTCCACAGAAGTCAATCTTTCATACTGTTCATCAGAGATCTCACACAGGGAGCAGCCGATATTCCTGGCTTCATGTGTGCGGGAAATGTTTTTCAGTTAAGTCCCATCTTAACACACATCAGAGATCTCACACAGGGGTACAACACTTCCTGTTCTGAGTGCGGGAAATGTTTTTCAGATACGTCCAATCTTTACATACATAGGAGGTCTCTCACGGGGAGAAGACCATATTCCTGCGCCTGATATGTGGGAAATTTTTTTTGCAGAAGTCCCATCTTTCCAGACATCAGAGATTTTTAACACAGGAGAAACCTACTTTCCTGTCCTTGAGTGAGGGAAATGTACCTCACTGAAGTACTATCTTCCTGATACAATGCAGAGGTCCACACAAACCCTGGAGGTGTATCTAGTGCCTTGAGTGTGGGAAATGTTGCTGGACATCCCAGCTCTCATGTGGGGAAGAAGCACACCCTGATATACACCTCAGATATACTCCATGGCTGATCTTCATCATGGAAGGTACATTAGACCAGGAGATCAGAGGCCCCTAGAGATGTAGAAGAAGCAGGAGATCAGACGGTCCCCCAGAAACACATAGGGAATGAAGTGAAGTGGAAGAAGAAGCAGTTAGACCAGCAAGATTCAGAGGCCCCCAGACCAGAGACATGGATACAAGTAGGTTGTGGAAGATAAGCAGTAAGACCAGGAAGATCATGAAGGTCCCCAACAGCATCATAGATGAAGTGGTGGAAGAAGCAGGGCGAATCATCAGGTCTCCAGAGACATGGATGATAGTTGAAGGAATGTTGTTGGGCTTTTGGAATCATTGTCAAAAAATATGACTTTTTATCAAGACAATAATGTCTTATCTATAGCAAACAGCTCAGCAGTAATCCAGAATGTTAAGCAGTCTAATTATGTCTTGGTTTAAACCATCACAAGGAATTAACCTAGTTTAAAGAACCTGAAGAGAACAGGGAATTAAGAACTATTCCACCAAGACGATAATGGGGATTGTTTAAAACTGTCAAACAAGGGACTATTTGTATATGCGATGTGAGAAGAATACATCTAACAGAATGTCAAACACATAGGACCTCTGCCTTGTTAAACATTTCAACAATAATGATACAGGGAACTCTATACTGCTTTTGAAAGCTTAACCAAAACCCTGTATAGGTCATGATGAACAAACCCCAAACAACCTCTGATAAAACTGATATACTATCTACTATTAGTTCACCAATGGTGAAAAGCATGAAACATTGGTTTATCATTGAGTCCCAATACAAGGGCTCTAGGCATAACAGACGATTTTTTTCCCTACCACAGAGGAAATGAACTGATGCTGAAACCAAAGAGGTGTGACATTTACAGGACACTTTAAGTGTAAAAAGTTTCAACTGTAATATCATTACACAAATGTTTTACTACAAACAACAGATTATAAAATAAGATGTTCATAGACTTTAAAACCACCACTACAATTACTCTGCAATGGAAAAAAATAAAAAAAAAAAGAACTATAGCTATCACATAACTTTGAGTATTGAGATGATTGGATACGTAAGAAGTAATATAAGTAATACGTCAGCATTTAGTTATACATGACTTATCCACAGAAACCACACAGGTATGATACTTCAAGGAGGAATAACCGCCATATATCACCAATAATCCATGGTCTCCATATTTAGAATATCATAGGTATGACATCACTGCTATATTCTGGAAAGTGCTTGTATATTTTATTCCTAGAAATTACCTGTAGATTCCACCCAGAGATGACACTCTCATATCAACATACTCACATGTGTATCAGTGATTACATGACCGCCACCGTGTGCGGGGCAGGTGAGAATTAGCTTTATGTACATCACACATTTCTCAACTAGCCAATCATGAAGCCTGGTGGAAGGTATCTAAAGAAACAATGGACTAGTAGATTACATAAAAAGCCCAAATGTGCTGTAACCAGATGGAAAACCACATTGAAAAGATAGAAAAACCCTCATAAAAGCACTCATGGATAAGACCTGAACATCTGAAGAAGAATTACACACTGCTGAAAATAACGTACACTCCATCTTTTCAAACTTCCAAAAACTCCTAAAACTTTTTAAACCACTAAAACTTATAACATTCCTACATTCTCCCCTAGTAGAATCAAATCACTTCACCTTATAATATCAGTCTAAAGGCGTTACCACTGCCAGCCTAAATCCACGGGAGAAATTTCCTATCTGCGTCCGGGGTGGTGAGATGTTTATTTGATTTTTATTCATTACTTTTCCCCGTTTTGTAGAATCTAAAAAATTTCCGGGTTTTTC